TGTAGTCAACAGTGATACTTGATATTTTATAGGCCTACATGTAATTGCATTCATTCTCCCCTCATATTGCAAAGCTTGCTAAATATGATAAAGCATGTTAGTTCTTGTGTTTTTCCTGTCACAAAATTTGGGAAATATCCTGCTTGCTCAACAACCTGTCCTTGTGCTTGCACAATGATTGCACAACACAGGGTGTTCAATGATAGTTTCATGAGCATTCAAATTTATTGCTGTGACTCTATAGTCAAAGTTTTATTTTAATATCACAATGCTGATATAGGCTATATTTAACTTTTGATATAAGATTTTAAAATATTTTTTTAAAAGAAGCCTCTTGTGCTAACTAAAGATCCATTCACACCAGGAACGATAAATGTACAACTACGAAATATTAGCTACCAGCGGACAATGTCGTTTTGCTTATTTAAAGGAGTAGTTCACTTTTAAAGAAACTTTTGCTGATAATTTACTCACCCTCATTCCTCCAAGATATGTCATTCTTTCTTCAGTCGAAAAGAAGTTAAGGTTTTTGATGAAAACATTCCAGCATTTTTCTCCATATAATAGACTTCAATGGGAACCAAACGATTCAAGGTCCAAAAGACAGTTTCAGTGCAAACTGCAAACTGTTCAGAGGGCTTTAAACGATTCCAGACGATGAACAAGGGTCTTATCAAGAGAAACGATCGCTCATTTAGAAAAAAAAAATAACAAAGTTTAAGTTTTATAAGCTCAAATGGTCGCCTTGCTTGTTCTGTGATGTGCGTTCGTGACTTTCCTGTTCGAACTCATTTATCAAAATGAACGAATCTTTTTTCGTGTCATTTGGTTTATTCAACGAACGAAATGAATGAGTTGACTTGGGAAAAGATTTTTTTTTTTTAAGTGAACTACTCCTTTAAGTTTTGTCGTCTGCTGCTTTAAATGCTCAAGAATTCTGATTGGTTGTCACTGTTTTTAAAGTTACTACGATATTGTTTCTCTGTGCCATTCCGTTATTGTTATAAATATGTATGGACTCCCACAAAAATGCTACTCTTTTATAGTCTATTCCAAACAATTGCTAGAACTATTTATGGTTATCCATACTGACACTTTTGACAATGTATACATCCAACGCACTTGGCACCCTTTAGCGTCAATATGAGACACATGTATGGGCCAGAAGGCGCCTCCTAGTGGTCTAACCCTAACCCAGAACTAAACCTACCCATAACCGAAGTGTGTTATATTGACGCTAAAGGGCGTCATGCCGTGTGCGTTGGATGTATATGCATTGTCAAAAGCATCACTATATGACGCCCTAGGATGAGAATGCGTTGGAACGACCCTAAGGCTGCATTTATTTGATCAAAAATACTGTAATTTTGTAAAATATAATTGATCTAAGTGCTGAAAATAATAAGTAATAATAATAATAAATATAGCTGCAAGCAGCCATTACCGGGGCCAAGCGCAAGAAGCGGCAACATATGCCAAAATGGCTAGGAGTGGCAGACCAACTGCAGCAAGGAGCAATTAAGGGCATTTTGAGAGAACTTTGGGCAAATGGCTAAGAAAATCACATAAACATTACCTTATAAGATGATTTAATGGGTTATCACTTTCGAACAATAGGTGGCGCAGTTACGAAATAGATGTGTGGTCAGAGTGAGGTGACAATGACACATGCAAAGTTTGGTGTCAAAATGTGAAGGCATTGCAGAGATAAAGCCTAAATAGTAATTTTGGCAGCATGCCTAAATTTTGATGCTGTGGTATACAAAAACGGTTTTGTCTATCATCGTGCAATTCATAACTTTTAGTCGGCACAGTCTGGAGATGATACGATTCAATTTTCGTGAAAATCGGACAAACGGTCTAGGAGGAGTTCGAAAAAGAAGGTTTTTCAAAGAAATAAAGATGGCGAACAGAACGTTTGTCTGATTATGGAAAACCTGATATCTATGTTTTTGGCATAACCGAAGGAATCTATTAAGATCAGTTTCATTGCAATAGGCAAATTTATTCAAAAGTTATTAGCGTTCTCAGAAATTAATTATAACTTTTGACCAACAGGTGGCGCTGTCTTAAAATCTTTTAAGTACCTTCAGGGCATGCTGCTTATGGCACACACTGAGTTTTGTAATATTACACCAATGCATTTGTTTAGTATAGCATTTTATTTCACAAAACTCTATTGAAGTCAATGGGAATTTCACGTTTTGTTCTATTATAGCGCCACCAAGAGGCTCAGTCCCACAATTTTTTTTTATGTGTCCTCAGAGTGACCCCATACATATGTGTGTCAATTTTGGTGAAAATATCTCAATTCGCTTCCGAGTTATAAACATTTATATGAAAAAACACGTAAAAAATGACTGACACATGACTTTGTTTGAATTTTACTACCCCTTACTATCAATATTTTCGCATTTGGGCATTAGCGTTTAGTTAACAAGCTATGATTCCGTGTTTCTGGCGGTGGTTTCGTCTCGATCGGAACAGCGGTTTTGAAGATATCGCCAAGTGTTTTTTTCGCGCTAAATCGCTACGCTACACCAACCGTAACACGAAACCCAGCATGTTTAGTATTGTTGGACTCGGCAACGATTCAGGAACTCAAAAAGATGACTCCCGTGAAAATATGTGTACCACACCCAAAGTTATAAGCGTTTGGAAAAAAAAATTCACCACTAGGTGGCGCTGTTTCGAAACTTCTCAGGCTTCTTCAGGGCATCGTACTGATGACCCATACCGAGTTTCGTAACAATTCGTTCATGCGTTCAAAAAATACAGCATTTTAGCACATAATTCAAAATGGCCGACAGCCAAAATGGCCGATCTGGGAAAATTGGATATCGGTCGACTCGGCATGATGCCCTGAATCTAACGAGATGAAGTTTATGATTTTTGGACAAACCGTTCAGAAGTTACGAGCAAAAATAGCCATTTTTCATATCTCCGGACCACTAGGTGGCGCTGCGCCGAAACGCTGCATGTAGCCTCAGGTCATGCTTGTGATTACATGTACCAAGTTTGGTCTGAATAGGATGAAGCGTTGCGGAGATACAGCCTTACGTCTGTTTTCGCAAGCGTTACGTAAAATTAGTTTGTGCGTTTATCGAAAACCGTTAGGCGAATCATCTTGAATTCCATAACTTTTTGTCAGCACTGCCTGGAGATGATCCGGTGCGATTTTGGTGAAAATCAGACAAACCGTCTAGGACGAGTTCGCAAAAGTACGTTTTTTAGAAAATTCAAAATGGCGGCCGTTTTTTTATGACGGAAAATGACGTCATAGGGTGCGATCGAATCGGCATGAGCTCAGGAACAAGAGGAAAAAAGAATTTTGTTGATAGGCCTTACGGTTCAAAAGTTATTAGCATAATAAAAGTGAAACTTTGGACAGTTGGTGGCGCTAGAGGGAATGAGTTAGAGACACCAAAATTGGTGTATTTAAAGTTGGGACTGTCCTCTATCAGAATGTCAAACCAAAACAACTTTCCCGCAAACCGGTCTATGGGCTGCCATAGACGCCCAGTCGGAAGAAGAATAATAATAATAATAATAATAATAAGAACCGGAACAGATACAATAGGTGCCTCCGCACCTTCGGTGCTTGGCCCCTAATAATAAAATAAATAATAATAAGGTATTTTTTCATAAATTATCTAACAATAACAATACTAGGCTATATCTAATACTGTATCTAACAATACATTTATCCAGCTCAGCCATAAATCAAACCAAAAAAAAAAAAAAGCATCTAATGTGTTGTTAAATGTAATTTTTGCATGATTGATGACATTACCAAAGGCAATGATTTGTTATATTTTATTTTCCTGTTCCTCTCAGGAAAGCCAGGAGGCTGCTCTCCCGTTCACAGTTAAGAAGAGCATGTAGACAACCATGTGAGCAGATCAGCCTGCGTAGGGTCCCTCAGGGGCCAGCCCAGGTAGCTGTACTGGCGCCCCCTCATCCCAGTTTACGGATGCGAGGTCCAATCGTCATCCATGACTGACAGTCATCTGCATTGTTCTCCCCAGTCTGTCAGTTTACCATTTGGAGTTTCATTTGCCTATTCAATCTGCATCCTCTTCTTCTAAAACTTTCGCTTCCACCTCTGGACAAAAGGCTCACAATAATAAAGCATTTAGCTTATAACCCAACCATTTAAATAAAATGATACTTGTATATTCAGCACCTCCTTGGATGGCAGCCTACGGCTTTTGTTTCAATATCTTTTTAAGTACTAAATGCTCATTAAGTTTCAGTACAAGCGCAACTTAAACACTTTTACCTTGCAGCAACTTCGGCTCTGAGCACTGAGAATCTATGGCTGTGGCAACTAAACGTACAAGGTTCGACAAATGTGTATCATGTACAGATCAACGCTGATGCTGACCATTCAACAGACTCTTTTGAGAAGTGTTAGTGTACTCTTTGTAAATTCAGTTAGCTCTGCATTGAATGGTTTCCTTTATTTCTCTGTATCTTCTGTGCGTATCATGACAAGTACACGTCTGTGAGCTGTTTTTATATTGTATTCATGCGAAGGCTGGATTGGATGTTGAGTCAATGGCTAATTGGTGGTTTTAACTGAGAGCATGTTTCAATCAATTCTTTTAAATGGAGATTTTGTAATGATTTGTGGAAGTCAAAACAGCCTTTGCAACTCTCTATAAAATATTTATTCAGGACATTATGGTTCTGTTGCCCTCTTTAAGATGCCAGTAATACCCTTTAGATGTTTGTAAGAAATGTATTTATGGGCTTCTTAACAAATAAAGGCAACTTTTCAGCACTTAACCAATTAAAATGGACAAATTGACCTGGTAGAAGTCATAATTAAAATTTGGCTAAGGGAATATTCATTATCCCGGCTGTGTATATAGCATGTGACAGTGAAACAATAAGCTATTTTGTTTTCAATGCTTCATACATTTTTGTTGTATTTTATTGTATGTCACATTTACTGAAAAATGATCAATAAAAAAGTGCAGTACAGATTGTTTTTCTGTGTAATAGTACAAAAAGCATAACAGTGTACAGTATAACATATAGACATTCTATAGGCAGAATTATAATTCATTAGGTCATTGTTCAGGGATAGTTATGTCACAATTTTCTTTGCCTCATGTCCATTTCCTTCCATCATGACTTTCTACTGATGTATAACAAAAAATATATTTTGAAAAATACAATGAACACAATGGGGCCCTAAATAGACTTAAATGGACAAAAATAATTAAAACATTCTTCAAAATATTGTCTTTAGTTTTCCATAAGTGTCATACAGGTTTGGATCAACATGATGGGTGAGTAATTGATGAATGAATGTTCATTTTAAGGTGATGTATCTCTTTAAGACACACTTTATTTTCACCCTCCCAATTGCAATGAATGTAACAAACAGTTTCTCAGGTAGATTAAGTTTTTTTTCTGTTCTTCTTCACACTCATCTTAAATTTCGTCAGCCCCACTGAGTTGGTTGTGCCTTTCAAGGTGTCACGGTACCAAGCGTTAATGTGGCAGTAGATGACTGGATCCAGTGCACAGTTCATGTAGGATAAAGCAAAAGAGGCATTAAGACAAACTATGAGGAACTCAGAACAGGGGAACACTTGAAGTAAGATGCCAAAAGTGACTGTAGGTAAGAAACACAAAACAAACATGATCACAAGAAACAGAAGCAATCTCACTGCCCGCTTCACCCTGCGTTGTGTGCCCTTAGACTGCTGACCGTGGACGCGAGAGAAAACGCGCACAAAACTGAAGACCACCAGTGTGAACCCTAGCAGGACCTCCATCAGCTGTACTGAATTATATATCCTCATTTGAACCGACGGCCATGTCCATGACAGATAACTGTGGCATGTGAGCTTCGACGAGTTTCGACGAGATGCAAGAGCCAGGTTCAAGGCGGCTGGAAGGCGAAGGAGTAGAACACCCACCCAAACTGTGCAAACCAACACAATTGCTTGTCTCACACTCATTCGAGAAATGCGATGGTGTGGGTGAATTATCCTGAAGAAGCGGTCCACGGCTAAAATCGACATGAAGGCCATGCTTGTTGAGTTGTTCACAGATATAATATACAGAACGAAGCGACAAAAGGATTCGCCAAATATCCAGTCTTCACCACGGAAGAGATAATCTATGAGGAAAGGCAGCCCGGCGAGGAGTAGGAGGTCGGATATTACCAAGCAGAAGACATACACATTGTAAGCTTTCCATGGAGACTTGAAGAACAATATCCAAAGAGCAAACACAAATCCAGGCAAGCCAAAGATGAACTCCAAAATGAAAATGGGCTTTAAAATGGAGGAAACAAGAGTCTGAGATTCCATGCAGGAGGAGGTGATGTTACTCATGATGAAAAGCAGTGCGAACTTGTAACCTAAAATTACATTGATATTGTGTTAAGACAGTTTACAAGTAAAACAGGAAAATCCTGAAAGTGTCAAACATTTATAATTTACTATTAAACTTTAGGGGTGAGCAGGGCACAACCTAACGCAGGGCTAGTTGTAACCTTCCTCATATGCTAGCATGACCAAACTTAATGTATTTACCTACTAATTCCTATATTGGAATTATAGGAATATAATCGGTACAGCTAGGGGGTGAGTAATTAATGACACAATTTTCATTTTTGGGTGTACTAACCCTTTTAAAATAAAATAAAAAACAGCAGAAATTTTAATTAGCAAAAAGTAACTCTAAAAGTTAAAAATTGCATTTTTTTTAAATATATATTTAGTTTGCACTGTATATTTTTTGAATTGCTAGTTGTAATAATATTTTAAACTGTCATATTATGGTAAAGTTACATTGTTCCCTTACATGGGGCATATTGTCACACTTCCTATCTTGAAATTAATGTGAAATACAAAGCAATTGTCCAGTTCTGCTCAATTAATTGTAAATTATAATGTTTTATAATTACGTTATCCAAATAAAGTTTTATTAATTCTTAGTCTTTATATCTGGCTATGAATAAAGAATATAATCAAAGTAAATTAATGGATTTCCAGACTTACCACACGATCAGGAGCTCTCGCTGTTGTGGAGGAGAACAATTTTGTAATTTGTAATTTGCTGTGTGATGAAACGATACTGTGTGCAGAGTCACGGAAGATCTTTATCTTTACCTTTTTTTGTCATTATTATTTTATTCAGACAGATCACAAACCCGCATTAACATGTTATTCTGTACGCGGTGAATTATGACCGTTTGACATGCTGGTAAAAGATCATAAACTTTTGTGAAAATGTGATGTCACTTCAGGGCAGGGCAGTAGATCACGTGCAGCCATGACGTCAAAGAGAGGTTCCCTCGAGATTTTGTTAATGGTTTTATGATGGGGTTTTATTTCTTTTACGGTCAATGGGTTTTATCAACAATTTCTTTGTGTCCTCTAGGGATGGGGAAATTATGCCTCGTGAAGCAATAAGGCTTTCCCCTGACTGTTCCGGGAAAAGATTCAAAGCTTCGCGAGTGTCGATAACAGCGCCATCTGGTGCTTATTTAAAATAAAGCAACCAGAAGCCTGTGTAAGAAGCTCTGTCAGATGAAGCAACCACAACACACTCCAGTTTCAATGGTATGTGAACAAATAATAGCCTTGCACATTTCTGTTTGATTTGTCTATAAGTTTGACAATAAAAGGTAAAATGGGCTTATGATTCAAATTCAATAAGATCTGGCCAGTGTAGGCACACACATAGTGAATACGAACATTGTGTGATAGGATCATCTGCTATTAACTGCTTAGACACTTGGCAGTGAAAGTGCTTATGTAACCCTGATAAAGATTTAAATTATTTTTATAAAGTAATAAAGCTATTACACAGTGTTGAAGTCTATTTCTCATACTACTGTTGTATTTTAATTTCTGTAAGTGAGTAACATTAGTGATGTGGCAAATACCCAATGGCATGCAGAGATGGAAATAAAAATACAAAATACTGTGTGGAAAAATGTATTTAAATACAAATACAAAATACTATGTAAAAAATAAAAAACAATACACAACATGCGGCCATCCGGTCACAGTAATTTGCATGTGCCTGACTTTCTTTCTTTCTTTCTTTCTTTCTTTCTTTCTTTCTTTCTTTCTTTCTTTCTTTCTTTCTTTCTTTCTTTCTTTCTTTCTTTCTTTCTTTCTTTCGGGCAATTACAAATAAACGTAGGCCTATGCAAAATAGCAGACATTTATATAGGTCTATACTTATTTCTAACCAGTTTACAATGTGGTCTATTCTGAACACTTAAAAAAAAATCATACTGTAAAACTGTGGGAAGCTTTTCTGCTATTTATTTAGCAAAGAATGGATGGGCGATGACCAAAATCATGGTTTCACAATTCACCGGCCTATCAGTTTTCAAAATTGGAATTCATTTAAATTCATTTGACACTACTTTTTTTTGTTTACTATATTTATATGCTACTATTTACTATTCACTATATACTATTATTAGTATATAACTAAAAAAATCTGAAGATTTTTGGGGTGTCTCATTCATCAATGCTTCGTTTTCCACTCAAACGTTAAATAATTCCTGCACAAAAGCTGCACGAAAAATGCTTATATAAACGATTTAGAAAAAGTTCCATCGATTCTTTATATCATCGATATAACATGCGGTAATGCTTCATTAGCTACCTAATGCTGCAAGCTTGATAAAATTCAACAACCGATCAAAGACAGATTGGCTCACGCTATTTGCCCACTTGTCTGTGCTCTTTTATTATTTCATGTTAACTGAGGGCAAATCTAAATGATGTACAATTTTAACTTTAATCAACAAGTAGAATTGATCATAACATCCTCGCCTTATTCCAGAAAAGTTGCTGATCCAACCCCGTTTGGTAGGGTTGTTGGGGGGAAGGGGCGTGTCTTGTCTAGACTAGTTGATACACTAAATCATTATGAAAATACTTAAATACTTAATATTAAATGTATTTAAATACAAATTACATTAGATTTTTACCAAAGGCTTTAAAATACAAATTGGATCAGAAATACTGCCCATCCCATCCACGCCTCTACATTTTTGGAAATAGGCTTCCTAATCGGTCATGAACAGTGTTATTGCAATGAGACGCCAGAGCTCCAGTGGCGCAATCGGTTAGCGCGCGGTACTTATACAGCAGTACAAAGCAGAGCGATGCCGAGGTTGTGAGTTCGAGCCTCACCTGGAGCAGAGTTTTGCACGATGACTAAAGAGGTAGGTTTCTATACCTCTCTAAAACGCTTAATAATAACGCTTGTACACGATCCTACATGATCACTTATCTAAGCATACAAAGGAAACAGATTTATCAAAGATGTCATAAACTCACTGCTATATAATTCAGCTGCAAATGTGTGGACAATTCAAAGGAAGCGCATTGTGTGTGAATAAACTAGACGACAATGTATTTGGTGCTAATGGCGGAACGTGGCCTCTACGTGGCAGCATTGACTTAGTAGACATTCGCCACGTGTTCAAACCACAACGCTCTGGAACTTTACTCTGAAGTGTGTTTGTCTGAGAATGATAAAGTGTGTTCAGGTATGGCCATTTTAAATATACAATTCATAATTGTACAGTTTATTTTGTTTCATTATTTATTTTCATTTTCTCCCTTTGTTTTGTTTTACTTCCGGACACAGCTGTATGTTTTTTTTTTTCAGAGTGAAAATGCAATGCATTGATATCTAAACAGAAAATGCAGCGTTTTTGTTGGCACCTTTCCTTATAACTTTAACTAAATGGTTGTCTTTTTAAAAGTCTATTTTTTCTTCATGTGATTGTGAGGTGTGAGTTGGATGATGTGCCCTTAGTCGCAGAACCTGACTTTACCACATGCAACCAGTCAGATTTGAGGGACATTTACAGTTTATGTCAAGTTTAGTTTAATCAGGGTTTGGTGTTCCGTGGTTTTGTTACATCAGTGTTATTCACATATTTTTCCTCTGATTTTAGGGATATAGGGTTAAGGTTAGGGGTAGGGATAACATTTTCTGAAAGGAAAGTTGTTCCAGGATCAACAAAATATATTGAAACAGCAACACATCTAACTCGGGCATTTTAGTCATCCAGAAACATCTCATCACATCAATGGTTTCATATGTTTCTGTTTAAATTTATGTTCTTGGCACACATTTTACACGTAAACATCATATTTACATATAAACAGCACGGCCTTGTACATTTTTTTGGTCTGATCAGATTTCATCTTAGCTCTACCACTGCCAACACTGTCATGTCGAAATCCCACAAAACAACTGCTGTGGGTTCTTGATTGAGACCGAACAGAGCAGAATTCTCGAATAAACTATTTCACATGCTTTTTCACATCTATCTATCTATCTATCTATCTATCTATCTATCTATCTATCTATCTATCTATCTATCTATCTATCTATCTATCTATCTATCTATCTATCTATCTATCTATCTATCTATCTATCTACTTAACAAGAAATATAGTTTGAGAGAAATTCTTATAATAATTTCTAATTATTATTTATAACATATAACATATTTAATATTCAAAACACCATGTATCGATTTATTTTTTTAAATGACGGACCGTTGCTTCTCAGTTTACATGCAGCACTTGAGAAAGCCATGAACTCAACAAGGAAAAAAGGGAAGAAAAATAAATGCCTTTATGTGTGGAATGAATGACCATCTTTAACTTCTCAAGTTTTATTTTATTGCCATGTCACGGCTCATGGATTACCATTAAAGTGCAATCAGCATGAGTGCCTGTGTATGAGTGTGAACCTGTGCTTGTTAAGTGTATGAGTGTGTGTTTGAGTGAACACATTGAGTTATCAGTGGTTGAAGAAAGGAGAATTTTGGGAACAAAATTTGAAATAGGTTGCCTATAGGTTTAGCCAAAAAAAAAATTAAGAGACAGAAAGTAGCTAGAGGAAGCAGGATAACAGAGAGAAGAACACACACACACACACACAGATGAAGGAGGCTGAGAGGATTGCCTGGATCAGATTTCTGTGGTAATGGTTGGGTGGGTCAGTGGTTAAACTGCTTCTCACAAACACATTCCAGAGCTGAGGCAGAGCGCATCTGGTGTGCAAGTGCAGACAAGCAGAGCCAAGAGCTTCCCTGCAGCACCTCTCTCTCTCCCTCCCTTTCTCTTTCTCTTTATTCAATTGGGCTCCCTTCCACATCTTTCTTTTTTTTGTTGAATTCTTAAACACCATGGTTAACCCTCATGTTCTGTTTGAGGTCTCAAAGACCCTAGGGCCATTTGTATAGCTAAAACATACGTGGCATGAAGTGCAATGTTGACTTTTTCAAATCTCAGCAGAATTTATTATAAACAAAAATTTAAACTAGCAAATGTCCTCCATTATTATATTTAGGGGTCTCAAAATAGCCGCAAGCAGAAACAACATTACGAACATAAAAAAAAGAAAAGAATACGAATAAAAATAAAGCAATGAGGGTTAAAGAACCTTCTTGGCGCATTGTTCTGGTTGACCATCTGTGAATCATGATACAGTCGTCATAAATCTTCACTTAGGATTTGATGCTCAGCCTGTTTAGTGCATCTGTTACTCATATGTGTCCTTCAGTGGTATGTCTATAATATACGAGCCATTTACACAATGCATAAAATCTTTAGCTCCTTAACACAAACACACATGTGCCATTACCCATAATGCCCTGTCAACAGGATGCGGGGGTTCCTGTCTGGAGAAATAAGGGTTTAAATGAGGGAATTGATCCTTGGGCCTAAATGTCTGTACTTTTTGTCCTTACCAGCTCAAAACATGACTTTGAACTACTCACCTGAACACTAACGCATTAACAGGTACTCAATCTTACTCCTCAGGCGACCCTTGGAACATTTCGGTTCTGTTTTACAGCAGAACAGCAGCTTTGGTGATTTGTGCATATTACATTCTGTTCTTTCCCCTCCTCCGCCGAGACCCTCTACTCCCAGAAAAAAAGGTACAAAATCTGTCACTGGGGCTGTACCTTTTCAAAAGGTAAACTTTTGTCCATTTTAGGTGCTAATATGTACATATGTAAATTTAGGTGCTAATATGTACATTTAGGTTCTAATATGTACATTTAGGTGCTATGTATATTTAGGTGCCAATGTACATTTAGGTGCTAATATGGACATTTATTTGCTAATATGGACATTTTAGGTCCTAATATGCACATTTTAGGTGCTAATATGGACATTTATTTGCTAATATGTACATTTTAGGTGCTAATATGTACATTTTAGGTGTCA